GTAAAGGAAAGGGTCTAGTTTCAATTTTCTGAAAATGGCTACCCAGTTATCCCAGCATAATTTATTCAATAGGGAATATTTCCCCATTGCTTGTTTTTGTCAGGTTTGTTGAAGACAGTTATAGGTGTACAGTCTTCTTTCTGGGTTCTCTATCCTTTTCCACTGGTCCATGTATCTATTCTTGTACCAGTACCATGCTGTTTTGGTAACTGTACTCCTGTAGTATAATCTGAAGTTGGATATCGTGATGTCTCCAGCTTTGTTCTTTTTGCTTACGACTGTCTTGGCTATTCGGGCTCTTTTTTGGTTCCATATGTATTTTTGAAAGTTTTTTTCTAGTCGGTGAAGAATGTCAATGACAGTTTAATGGGAATAACATTGAATCTATAAATTGCTTTGGGCAGTATGGTATTTAATGATATTGATTCTTCTTATCTATGAGCATGGAATGCTTTTCTATTTGTTTGTGTTATCTCTGATTTGAGCAGTGGTTTGCAGTTCTCTTGCAGAGATCTTTCGCTTCCCTTGTTAGCTGTATTCCTAGGTATTTTCTTTTTCTGTGGTAATTGTGAATGGGAGTTCATTTGAGATTTGGCTCTCAACTTGACTGTTGCTGATGTATAGTAATGCTAGCAATTTTTGCACATTGATTTTGTATCCTGAGGCTTTGCTGAAGTTGTTTATCAGCTTAAGAAGCTTTTGGGCTGAGACATTAGGGTTTTCTAGATATATAATCACATCATCTGCAAACAGGGATAGTTTGACTTCCTCTCTTCCTGTTTGAATGACCTTTATTTCTTTCTCTTGCCTGATTGCTCTGGCCAGAACTTCCAATACTATGTTGAATAGGAGTACTGAGGGAGGGCATCCTTGTTTCTGTACCATGTTTCAATCCCACCAGCAATGTATGAATGAGGGCATGACCTCTTTAAATAATTATTTTTAAAATCCCATTTACTAGCCTTAATAAAATAGAAAATATATAACTACTGAGAGACAAATTTTTTTTTAAATAAAAATAACTCTTACTATAATAGAAAAGAGAAACAAAATGAAAGTAACATAATAAAGTTGTATTTTAATATGTAAATTCCCAGGCATACCTACATTCAAAGACATAATAAAGACCAATGCTTGCTTCTATTTGAAATTAATAAGACAATTTAAGAGAAGTAAAATTAGAAGCCATTCTGTATATGAAGTATAGGTAAATTAAAAAGCAGAAGTTTTGATAGATATAAATAAAGAAATAGTGTTATTTTAAAAAGCTAGTGTTAGAATAAGTAATATCGGGTCAAATCTTTATACACTAAACAAAGATAAAATAACCTTAGTTAAAGTAGTGATAATATGCCAAGATAAACTATAAACTACTGAAGTAGAAAAAATACGAAAGCATGATGTTCTTGCAAATGAACCAGGCCTTTTTATGAGTATAGCACCAAAACAACTCCCAATATTATTTTATAGAAACGCGTCTCCTAACTTAAAATGTTGAGGCATTCATTTATCTTCTGATACTTAAGAGAACTTGGAAACCCCATATCTTGTGACAAGGGAATAGAGAACAGACTGAAAGAACAAATACTAAAATTAGAAGGCATAAAAAAGTTATGTAATAGACTTTTGGGGACAATTTCAGAATGAGACTGAAAAAAAAAAAAAAAAACAACAGGCAAGCCAAAGATGCATAATCTCAATATGTGATTTTTACATCAATTCCTTATCATTCGCCTATAGTCAGCAATTGAGCTATAACAAGACTCTTGCATTTCATGTGTCTCGATTAATTCAATAATATTTGGTTCTAAGTCAGTTTGGTAAAAGAAGTTTCAAATCTTGTTATATACTAGCAATTGGTTTCCCTGCTTTTATAGTATGATTATGCGATTGCACTTAAAATCCTTTTGACTAAATACATACTTGAATGTGTTACAATATTGAGCAGACAGAGAACAATGCTAGCCAAACCCTGCATATGGTTTCCTCCAAAAAACTCACTTTTAATTTGGTCCTAAAGAGTACCAGTCAAACCCAAAGAGGCTCTCTCTTTCTTCAGGCTTCTCTAACACAGTCCTCAACTTACAGCAGTTCAACTTATGAGTTTTTGATGTTATGATGGGTTTATCTGGGTATTAAATGCACTTTCAACTTAGGATATTTTTGGCTTATGAAGGGTTTAATCAGGAACATCTCAAAATAAGTGGAGGAGCATCATAATGATAATGAGAGGTAAAAAAGAGGATAAAGCAAAACTAGCTTCCAGGCAAGTAAACAAATAGTAAAATCAATTAGAATAGATTGATCTAGGAAAGAATGAAGCCACTCAGGCAAGCAGATACGGATACAAGAGGGCAATTAAGCAAACAAAAGTACCTGGACAGAGAGGAAGAAAGAAAAATATACAAAAACAATAAATTTGAAAGAACAAAGGGATTCTAATGGGATTAAAAATAAGATTCCAGACTAACAAAGTTTATATTTAGATTGTTTTGTTTTTGTAGAGATTTGCTAAGTTTTGCATAGGTCTCGCTATGTTGCCCAGGCTGGTCTCAAACCCCTGGCCTCAAGCAATCCACCTGCCTCAGCCTCCCAAAGTGCTGGAATTACAGGTGTAAGCCACTGTGCCTTGCCTGTATTTAGATTTAAGGCATCTCTGACTCTGGGGCCAGGATTGTACTCTTCAAGCTTTTAGCAAAAAGACAGTTCCTTTGAGGAAAAACAGCAGTGAAAAGTTGGAGCGAAGAGAGGTAGGCCCAAGTATGAGAGAATGGAGGGGGAAGAGGATGGAGAAAGGTATAAAAGTAATATAACTAGGAAGTTGGCCATCAGCACTAGCCACTGATGAATGATCAAGGTCCTAGTCCATCTATTTAACACTGATGCCAAGTTCCTCAAAATATAATTTCTTTTTCAGCTCTAGAAACTAGTCCTCCTGGGTAAACTACTTTTCTGTCTTTCATTGAACATCTGTATAATCCCAACTATGAAACCACCAAGCCTCAATCACTTCCAGTCACTGTTGCTGGGCCAGGATCTACTGTTACCTATTAATAGATACACTCTTCACTTTGCCTTAGTAAATATCCTTTTACTAGATGTACTAGATTCCCCAAAGGAACTGTCTTTTTGTTAAGTGCTAAGAGGATAATCTGGGACATGGAGTTAGAGATGCCTTCAATCTAAACATAAACTTTGTTAGACTGGGATCTTATTTCCAGTCCCATCAGAATCCTTTTATTCTCTCAAATTCTTTGTCCTTATATATTTTTCTTTCTTCTCTCCTAAGACCTCAAGGACCAAAAACAGTCAATTTAGGCTGCTCTTTAGTGACAGTGTTAGTGACAGGTGAAACAGAAAGACCAATTTACAGATGTACACACTAGAAGTCCTTCTACAAAAGAGTGCCATTGCATACCTAGGTTGCTTGAAGGGCAGGAGGAATGCTGCCTATACCTCATTGGCTTATCAGAGCACCTGAAATGTTCTCAGTCAGAAAAATCTTGAAACTTTAGGTTAGGATTTCATATTTACCAGATTCTCCATGTTAAAATGAAAATAGTCATAGAAACATAATAGACTAGGTCTCTGATACATCTAATTGTTTTCCATTATGATACAAAGCTGACAACAGAGCCCTGGCAGGAATAGGACGGATAAGTACTGCAAAATAGGGAGCGGAAGAAAAATATGTTTACAAAGAATTGCCTAATGTTTTGGTTTCTCTTCAGATCGCATACATCTTTCCCCTTTTACAAAGAATTGCCTAATGGGTTACGTATAAGTTAATTCCTGCCCTGGGTAATACTGTGGATACAGAGAAGGATATGAAATCCCTAGGCCCTGGGGAAAATGCAAGAGGAAACAGAGATAGAGAAAGACTGAAAAGGAAGAGAAGCTCAAAAACAACTATTTCACAATCTGTTGGTAGGCTAGCTGGATGGTCAAGTTCCCCACGGCATAGTCCATGAGCAGCAGCAATCCGGAATATGCAGCGATATGAAGCAATACTGAATATCAGGTTCTATCTTTGGCTATCAGAAAGTCTGGGAAAAACAGGAAAATAATCTCTTAGACCAGTACTTGCTAATGGAATGTAGCACATATATCAAGATAGGACACTTCTAAACTTTTCTGTCCCTCCACTCATATTGCTTATTCCACCCCAAACGAGGTGGAAAATTAAGTGTGGGAGGGGAGATATGCGGAATAAAAAGTAGGCCTGCATAGTTTGAAAAAGTCCCTAGAATGATTTGACATATATTGTTCCCCTATAATGACAAGCTCCTTCCTCCACGTAAGTTGAATTAGACCCCAGTTCCACTAAAATGATAAGCAGACCCCTCATACTTTCAGTCCAAAGCAGTTGTTAAAATTATGTTATTTTTATTGCCACCTAGTGGAAGAGATAGAAAATCACAAGCTAAACTGAGAATAAGTAATCTAAAAAAGTATTAAATATTGTTTTCCATACTCTGACAGCCAAAGACAGTTTCTCAGAGTATGGTAATATGTAAGACGATTCTAAGTAGCACAAGGATAAATACGATTTAAACCAGTTGGTATTTAATGCAATGCATATTAGAAAAAAGCATAAACAACACTTCAAATCCACCACTTTATAAATATGTGTTAAGGCTAAATTAACCCTAATTTTAAAAAGTAAATAGATTTTTAAAGAAACATTCACTTATATTATACAGGTACTACTGAAGATATTATGAAAGTCATAAGGTAACTCTAAAATAACTGCAGTTTTGGAAATAGTTGTCCTAATCTGGTTCTTGAAATGGAAGATATTTTTCCCTCAGTATAGATGAGTTTTATTTATGTATATAAAGTGAAGTAATCCATATTTTAACAGAAACAACCATGTTTTAAGGTGCTCACATTTTTTTCTCATCAAATAGTTTGTTTACGTAAACAGAAATTATTCCACAATCAAATTAGCATTCAGAATGGCTAAGTCTCTGTATTTGCCTTTCTTAAAACATGCTTACCTAGGTAGTTATGCCATGATTGTAAATAGTTGATACTCTCTCATTTAGACAAGTTTCTTTATAGAAAATATATTGCCATTTAATCTACCCAGTTAAACAAATTTACAGAGAACTGTTTGAACTCCTGCCGACTTACTGTAATGGAATGCACTTCAGTGACCTATGTTCTGCTGTCACAGTGGCCAATTCTTTATCACAGAATTTAGAAGTTTCAAGAAAATCCTGAGCATTCAAGTCAGCATTCATTAGTGTTTATGTTTACTGACATTGGAATATATAAGTGAGAATCGAAAGACTTATTTCACTATCTTTTCTGATGGCCACTATAAATGACAATAATAAATTTCTCATGTGATAAATTTCTCATTTCCACCTCTAGTTGCAAGAAAGACTAAAAACTTAAGTATGTGGAAATGAAAATAAGATTATCAAGATTAGCTTAAACCAACCATCTTTTCTCTCTTGGATGAAGACTGATTGTGACTCTTAAAAAAATTAGGATTCTGTTAACATTAAGGAATAGTTAGGGTTACTGAATGATTGTTGGGTGTCTACCTAACAGTATCTGCCACACCATCCTTTCTAAGGCACTCAGTTTCCCTCTGAGGGAGCAACCAGAGGGAAACTGAGTTTCCTTATAGTTTCCTATTTACTACCCCAAACTTCATTTATACATGTTATATTATATTTATCTATTTTTACCCAAATGGTGGCATACTATACATTCTGCTCTGTACTTCAATTTTTCACTTAACAAAGTAAGTTCAAGATTTGTTCCATTTGGATATGTAATAATGCCACTTCCTTCTTTTTAATAGAGGAAAAATATTCCATTGTACAAATGTTCCACAACTTATTTATCCAGTCCTGTAAGAAAAGAAATTTTGATTGCTTCTAATCTTTACTAAAAAGTACTGCATTACAAAACCTTGTACACATATCATTTTGACAATGTGAATTAATGCTTAGAAGTGAAATTACCGATCCATATAAACTATGGAATAGGCTATTGGCATTTTGTGGGAAAAATCACATTAAATTTATGCATTAAAATTTGAAGACTATGACATCTTTAGAGTCTTCCCAATGAGAGCAGAATATGCCTCGTTTTATTCTTTTTATTACATCACATTTTACTGATTCTAATATACACATTTAAACACTTCTAAGTAAGGCTGAATCTCATAATCTAGAACACCTTATAATCACTTTAAGGGCCAGGCACGGTGACTCATGTCTGTAATCCCAACACTGAGAGGCCAAGGTGGGAGGACTGCTTGAGCCCAGGAGTTCAAGACCAGCCTAGGCAATAAAGTGAGATGCCATCTCTGCCAAAAATAAATTTTAAAAATTAGCCAGGTGCAGTGGTGTGCACCTATAGTCCCAGCTACTTGGGGGGCTGAGGTGGACGAATTGCTTGAGCCAAGGAGTTCAAGACCAGCCCTGGTAACACAGCAAGATAGCTTCTCTACAAAATAAAATAAAATAATTATCTGGGCACAGTGGCATGCACCTGTAGACCCAGCTACTCAGGAGGCTGAAGTGGGAGGATCACTTGAGCCCAGGAGATCAAGGCTGCAGCAAGCCACGATTGTACTACCACAATCCAGTGTGGGCTACAGAGCAAGACTCTGTCTCCAAAAAAAAAAAAAAATCACTGTCAGCAAGTGACAATATGATAGTAGTCATTCCTGGTAGCATAACTGCCATCCCTGGTCACGTCACAAAAACCATTTAAGGACCATTTGAAGAAGACAGATGAGTTACGTTGTTGTTAGAAAACCTTTTGCGACATCTTCTGGTAGGATCAGGAAAGTGCAAGCACCAAAACTTAAGTGTCACTGACTTGGAAGAAAATCTTTTTCCTTTTCTTTTCTTTCTTTTTTTTTTTTTTTGAGATGGAATCTCGCTTTGTCACCCAGGCTGGAGTGCAGTGGCGTGATCTCGGCTTACTGCAGCTTCCACCACCTGGGATCAAGTGATTCTCCTGCCTCAGCCTCCTGAGTAGCTGGGATTACAGGTGCATGCCAACATGCCTGGCTTATTTTTGTATTTTTAGTAGAGATGAGTTTCACCAAGTTGGTCAGGCTGGTCTCGAACTCCTGACCTCATGATCTGCCCACCTCAGCCTCCCAGAGTGTTGAGATTACAGGCATGAGCCATTGCACCTGCTGGAAAATCTTTTCAAGAAATATTACGGCATCTGGGTTCTTAATGGCACTAAGGACAATTCTGTGTGTGTGGGGGGAACACCTATTTTGATGACTCTGCATCAAAAAATAATTCAGAAGAATCATATTCTAAATGTGAGGTGTCAGTAATCCTTGATTGATATACTTTGTTTCTATTCTCAGTTTTATAATTGCACCAGAAATATAGGATAAAATATCACACAAGTTCAAGAGTTCTCTTTCTTTCTTTCTTTCTTTCCTTTGTTTCTTTTCTTTCCTTCCTTCCTTCCTTCCTTCCTTCCTTCCTTCCTTCCTTCCTTCCTTCCTTCTTCCTTCCTTCCTTCCTTTCCTTCCTTCTTTCCTTCCTTCCTTCCTCCCTCCCTCCCTCCCTCCCTCCCTCCTTCCTTCCTTCTCTTTCTTTTCTTTTCTTTCTTTTTTGAGACAGAGTCTTGCTCTGTCACCCAGGGTAGACTGCAGTGGTGCAATTTTAGAATACAAACAAACACTCTAAGTTCCAACAGATTATTTCATCAGAGGTATGGGCAGCAGTTTTTCTTAGTGTTAAATTTTTTTTTAAATGCAATTTATAATCAGTAGCATCTCAGATTTGATGAAATACTCTAAATCTTATTTTATGTCAGAAGCATTTTAGTTTCTCTCATTTGACACATTCATGTTAAAACCATTTCTATGTATTTTATTTTTTCTTCCATCACATTTTCTCATTGGAAGTCTTTTTATCTTTGCCTGTTTTGTAAGCAACTACTTTATTGAATTCTCTTACTGTTTATATTTTGTGTGTGGATTCTTTTGGGTTTTACAGGTATACAATAAAATAAATTTAAACTCAAAGTATTTTAAACTATCTGCTGAAATTTTAGCTCAATGAAAGTAAACATTTTCTATTACTTTTACTCTTCTATCTCAAGTACCTAGCATATTACCTTGTAGAAAGTAGGTAATCAATACGTATTCGTTCAATGGATTCGATTAATGTATCTTATTTTGTAATGTTACCCCAACCCTTCCCCCAACAGAGATATTGAGTTTAGTGTAAAGAAGATCGAATATAAACCAGTAGGACTCAAAGTCCTTCTGACAATCATTTAAGGACAACAAACAGTAAGTCAAAAATAACCTAGCATATAAGGAAGTAAAGTACTATGAGTGAGAACCAGAAGAAACAAAAGCAGAAACAGACCCACAAGAACTTCAACTATAAAAATCACCAGAATAAAAATATAAAACAATAATGCTTCCTATGTTTAAATAAACAACAAAACAGTATTCCTATTTACTTTCCCCCACATATATACACACAAATCCTGTAAGAAATTGGGTATTTTATAATCAAATCTATACATGCTTTGTTATAATTAGATGTATTTTAATCATTAAAGACCCTAATTTGAAATCAGTGTTTTATTTCAAATGCTTACCTTTTGGATCTTAGATCTGATGACTCAAACTGGATATTCATAGGTCCAGGATCTCTTTCATGATCTACCTCAGAGATGAGAAGATGCCTAGAATCACTATTCATATTTGCCATTTTTCTCACACTCTAAGCACTGAAGAAGTTAGTCCTACACAAAGAAGATAAATCATTAATTTAAAAATATTTTATTATCCATAACTAATAAATATTCATGAATAAGAAATTGGAAAAATATGGGAATTTGCTGAACATATCTTTTTTTTTTTTTGAGACAGAACCTTGCTCTGTCACCAGGTTGGAGTGCAGTGGCGCAATCTCAGCTCACTGCAACCTCTGCCTCCCGGGTTCCAGTAATTCTCCTGTCTCAGCCACCCAAGTAGCTAGGACTACAGGCATACACCACCACACCCAGCTAATTTTTGCATTTTTAGTAGAGACAGAGTTTCACCATGTTGACCAGGATGGTCTTGATCTTTTGATCTTGTGACCCACCTGCCTCAGCCTCCCAAAGTACTGGAATTAGGCTTGAGCCACTATGCCCAGCTGCTGAAGATATCTTAATGAGGTATATGCCTGAAATATTTATCAGAAACTTGCTAACTTAAAATGAAGTTATTTCTTATTTTTTGGCTTACTGAAAAATAAGTGAGGCAATTCATTTCGAGTAATAAAACAGATTAGGCTATTTGGACTCATTTTTCTGGCAGACAAACTAAAAATACTGAATAAAATATTTTTAAAATCTTTAAAAAGTATCAAACATAGTGAGGAATATCAGGCCGCTTGTAGGTGAAAGAACCAAGAGAGGTAAATGACAAGGAAACGACTGCTGCCTGGAGGGTATTTGCTGTACCAGAGGAATTCAGGCTGAGGTTTTCCAAGCCTTGTGTAGTATTCCGGGAACAGAAGTCAAAGCCCAGTGTTCAACCAAAGTAAGGAATGATTATAATAAGAAATCATCCCCTTTCCCTACGTCCCCACCGCAATACAGCTATAACTGTAAAGACCTTTGCTATCAGAGCAGGGTTTAACAAGAAGCAAAAATGGCTTATTCCCTCACAAGGGACTATAAAGAAGTGTAGTCCACAGTGTGAGCCACTATGGCCTCTGGTCCATTTTAAGACTACAAAGAAGTCTTCTTAAAATGGACCAGAGGCCATAGTGGCTCACATCTGTAATGCCAGCATTTTGAGAGGCTGAGGCAGATTGCTTGAGGCTGGGAGTTTGAGACCAGTCTGGGCAAAATAGCACAACCTCATCTCCACTAAAAAACAAAACTAGCTGGGCATGGTGGCACATGCCTGTAGTCTCAGCTACTTCAGAGGCTGAGGCGGAAGTGGGAGGATAGCTTAAGCCCAGGATTTGGAGGCTACACTGAGCTATGATTGCACCATTGCACTCCAGCTACCTGGGTGACAGAGTGAGATCCTGTCTCAAAACAAACAAACAAACAAAAACAACAAAAAAATCCCAAATTGGCAGGGCACAGTGGCTCACACCTGTAATCCCAGCACTTTGGGAAGCCAAGGTGGGTAGATCACTTGAGGTCAGGAATTGAAGACCAGCCTGGCCAACATGGTGAAACCCTGTCTCTACTAAAAATACAGAAAAACAGCCGGGCATGTTGGGGTGCTCCTGTAATCCCAGTTACTTGGCAGGATGAGGCGGAAGAATACCTTGAACCCAGGAGGTCGATGTTGCAGTGTGCTTGAGATCACGCCACTGCACTCCAGCCTGGGTGACAGAGCAAGACTCCATCTCAAAAAATAAAAATAAAAAAACACCCAAAACTACTGACCACAGCATGTGTATATATGTACTTTTTTGTTGCCATAAACTGATAATTTATTACCATTAACTGCACCTCATGAGATTTTGCAAGAAACACTTAAAGCTATGAATATAATTTAAGATTAACCTGCTTGGTAGCACTTCTAGGTAACTGACAGAAGCAAATGTAAATCATTCCTGTGAAGACACACCTTCATTGTAGGCCTCAAAGAAGTCCTGCTAACAATCATTTAAGGAGAACAAAAGGAAGGTCAAAAATAACCTAGCATATAAGGAAATAAAGTACTATGAGTGGGAACTAGAAGAAACAAAAGCAGCAACAGACCCAGAAGAACTTCAACTATAAAAATCACCAGAATAAAAATATAAAAGAATAATGCTTCCTATGTTTAAATAAACAAAAAAAAGTAGAAATTTTCAAAAAATGACTTAGTATGTTTAAATAAGGACTAGAATAAATTTTTAGGAAGAAAAAATTCAAGAGCCAAAATTCAACACTCAATGAATGAGTTTCAAAGATGAAGAGAAAATTAATGAAGTAGAAGATAAGTCAGAAAAAACTACCTAGAATGTGGCAGAGAGAGAAAAATAAAGGCAGAAAATGTGGAAGGTGTTTAAGAAACATGGAGGACAGAATAAGAAGGTCTAACAAGCATGTAATTGGAGAATCAGAAAGAAGACAGAAATAATATCTGTAGAGATAATTGTTGACCATTAAAGATACCAATCTATAGATTCATGAAATTGAAAGAATGCAAGGTAATTAATAAACATTATAGAGTTTGAAAAAAAGAATTAAGGCCAGGCATGATAGCTCACCCCTGTAATTCCAACACTTTGGGAGACCAAGGTGGGGAGATCACTTGAGGTCAGGAGTTTGAGACCCACCTGGCCAACATGGTGAAATCCCGTCTCTACTAAAAACACAAAAATTAGCCAGGCGTGGTGGTGGATGCCTGTAATTCCAGCTTCTTGGGAGGCTGGTGAGAGAATCGCTTGAAACAGGGAGGCAGAGGTTGCAGTAAGCCAAGATTGCGCCACTGCCCTTCCAGACTGGTTGTCACAGAGTGAGATCCTATTTTAAACAAATGAAACAAAAACAAAACAAAACAAAAAAAGAACTAAAATGCCAGACCAAATATAAAAAAAGTCAGATGAAGGTCTTTAGAATTAAAACGTCCAAAGGCCCTTATGTTGTCCAGATCAACATTACACATTGATGTTGTTATTTTAAGGTAACTATTAACATAGTAGAAAGCAGTGTATAACTTTAAACTCAGTAGAGGGGAAAGAAGAAGGATAAAAAATAACTGAACTAAAGGAAGGCAAAAGAGGATAAAAAGAAAATATAAAATAGGTGGGAAAAAAATAGAAAGCATAAGATAAATAAGATCCTCTTATTCTTTCTTCAGCCCATGCTAATCGTGATAGCTTTCTTCTACCACTATACAGAAGCTGTTCTTATTGGATCACTAAAGACCTCCACATTGGTAACTCCAAGGGTTATTTCTCAGTCCTTAACTTTCTTGACCTATGGGAAATATCTGCCAAAAGGGATCACTTTTTTCCTTGATAAGCTGGATTCACTAGACCTCCAGGTTTTTCCCCTACCTACTGGTCCCTCCTTTTCTGTCTCCTTTGCTGCCTTCTCATCTCAGATCCCTTTCCCGTTGCAGAGTTCTAAGGTTCAGTCTTGATCTACCTTCAATCTCTTGGTAATCTTATGCAGTCTTATGGTTTTACTTCCATGGCTTGTGTTGTCCAATACAGTAGCCAGTAGTTATATGTGGTTACTTATACTTGAATTAACTAAAATAAAAAAATTCAGTACCTCAGTCATACTAGCTGCATTTGAAGTGCTCAAAATCCACATATGGCTAGTGGCTACCCCTTAGACAGTATAGATATAAAACATTTTTCCATCATTGTAGAAAGTTCTATTGCTTTAGGCAATGACAACTTCCACATTAATATCTCTAGCCTAAACTTCTCTTTTGAGTTTCAGACTTGCGTATTCAACTACCTACTCAACATCTTTAGCTGGATGTAACAGACAACTCAAACCTAACATGTCC